GATTACAAGGATCATGTCAAAAGATTTCAGAAACCAACTTGACAAGGTTTACCCTGGCCAAAGACAGTGTTTCAATAAAGGAGGATCACAGTCAAGCAAGATATTGAAAAAAAGAGAAAAAGAAAAAGAAAGAAGAAGAAGAAAGAAAGAAAAAAAAGGAAGAATGAAATCTGGGGGTGAAGTTCTTTGAATGTATAGTAATCTTCCAAGAAGTAAAGGCAGAATGAATTTGTGCCCTGATAAGACTAAACAACCTTTAGGTGACTTTAATCAAATCCTGTCTTTCTCTTCTGTTTTACCTTTTTCTGTTGTTTTATTTTGTCTTTTTTTTTTTTTTTTTAGGGAAAGGTTTTTGCCTTAAGGCATGTGTCCGTGTCAGAGACAGAGAGACAGAAACAGTGAGAGAGAAAATGAGAAAACACCCCTCAGGTTTATGGCCACACCATAATCCCTTCTCTTCCATCCCATTCTCCTACCAGGATTTTGGACGTGCATAAGTACATGCCCAGAGTGATTTTCAAGCCACTGGGCCCAGGACTTGACCATAGTTGGCTATGTGGGATTTCAGTGATGTAATTGCTACAGTATCTACCGGCCCCTTATTTTGTCTTCTTTTTGCTTTTAGATAATACTAGATAAAGTGTAATGTCTATTCTTTTACAAAAGAAGAAGCACTTCTTTTTAATAAGTCGTAAGTTTATAGGAATGAATTAATTTTCAGTAACTCATATTTCCTAATATTCTGAGTTATCTCTAGGTCTGCATTTTATGATCTTTATGACAATTCTGTCACTCTCACTTTGCAGATGTCAAAAATGCTTCAGTTGTTTGATTTGCCAAAGGCCATTCTCAAATGCGAATGGTGACACTAAAGTTGGAGCCAAACCTTCTACTTTCAAATCTCATATTAGTCCTTCCAAACAAATCACTGACAGTTTCCAGCATCCCTGCCCTGAATTTACACCGGATGTTACCGTCTTAAAAATTCTAGAACCCATTAAAATGCTAAAGAAAATGGTAGCTCTTCTTCTAATCAGTTATTTTCTCAAAGATGCGATTGGGATTTAATAAACGAATACTTTCCCCCATAGTTAGTTTATTCAACTTTAATGTCCTTTAATCATTTAGCTTCAGACTTACTAATAATTGGTACAACTCAATAATAATTTCCAGACACCATCACCCATCTATAGTAGTCTCCAATTTAATTGTTAAACCTTATGAAAATAAATCTGTCAGGGCAAGTTTTAGAAAGATGACAGGAGAAGGAAAGGTGAGAAATAAGTAAATTATTCAAAAGACCCAAGCTATTCTTTCACTGTTATTTTCCCTAGTGTGAGAAATATATCACAATCCTAATCACTTCCCGAAGACCCATGTTTTTACCTTTGTACTCATCTGGCACCTGGTTTGTTGACTAGACAAGATTAACTCAGGGACAGCTTTTGCCCTTTTGTTCAAATAAATAATCAACTATGCAAATAATCAAAAGCAAGGAGAACAATTATTTATAAATAGACTAATTACTCAAGTATTTACTACAACAGCAGGCTACCAGCAGTTTAATGGAATATTGTTTGGGCACACATGAGTTTTTGGATAATTTTAATCACTGAATTTTGAACCCCCTTACTCTCTTTATTTAAAATGACCTTCATTCATTTTCTCTACTAAGAAAATATAAATTAACAAAATAAAGGCTTAAGAATAATGACAGAGAAAAAGAGAGGAAGGAGAGAAGAGGTTGAGAAGAAAGATTTTCTTTAACTCACAGCTGTTACTGATAACATGTTTTACACCAGTGACTATAAACATGGACTTGTGTGTAGTTTTTCTTAGAATATTTAGGAGCTGAAATTCACCTACTGGTTGAGACTGCATTGTTCTAAATTAATTTCAGAAGCAGATCGAGTACATTTCCATTCTGTTATCTCCCCAACTTCCATCTCGGTTTCTACTTTCCCTTCTTTCCACTCAGCTCATGTCTCAGTTATAGAACTTGTTTTGCAGGACCAAGCTAAGTTTCAAAATTTCACATACTAGGAAATTCTTGTCTGTGTATGTGTGTTTCTTTTCTCTTAAAATTAATGAATTGCTACTGATTAAGAAAAATCCTTTTCACAATAACGATGAGACCTAATTGTAGCAGTGCAGTGGTAGTACAATGTTCTCTAGTGCTGGAAGCCAGTGAAGATCAAGGTTCAGTTTCTGGGTTTACCTGTGCATGCAAAGTACACACGTGTCTATGATCCTCACTGGTTGTGAGCACTGGATGGAGGATCCTGGCATGAGACCCTGTTGAAGCTGCTTGTCTGTCTTTTTCTCTTTCATAAAACAATAAATAAATAAATAAATAAATAAGTAAATAAATAAATAAATAAATAAATATAAATAAAGTTAATGAAAGTAAGAACTCATCAACATAAAACTAGAAATGCTGAGGTTAGAACATGCCAGTGATAGCACATTTCCTTTCACTTTAGTGCTTATATATTCTATTTCTGCCAAACCATGTTTCTTCGGTGGACTGCGTGGTGCTTCTGACCTTGTTCCCTTAGCATTAAACAACTGTGAAGAATCACCCCATTGCTTGGTCAGAAAGCTCTCTCAAGAGCTATGGTTTCCTCAGTAAGATTTTCCCACTGCAATATGATTCTCAACAGTCTAAATACTTCCAAGTATTTTTAGGTAACTATAAACAGGAAGCAAATTCTAACGTGGAAGGAAATACATTGAAATTTAAAGGCTCTGAATTTAAAAGTAAATTTGCCCCTTAAGAAAATTTAAATGAAAAGTTTTGGGCTCCAAGGTAGCCAGTTATTAAAAGAAGGCTCTCAGACAGTCTTAACTGTATTGTAAAAAGGAATAGTAGTGGAGGTCCACCAGTGAGCTCAACTCTGAGAAGACTTGCAAACCAGTCAGTGTCAAGTGGTTTCTCCTATTAACCCTAGCCAATGAAAAGCAAAGAAGAACTTTAGAATCAATGAAAACTTTTCTGTGTGACTGTGAATGAGGTATTATTTTAAGAATTTAGCATTACAGAAAAGACCAAATCTACCAATATTAGATGGCAGGAAGTGACGGAGACAGTGAGTAGCTAAGCAGAGCTCATAATTCAGTAAAAGGACCAAGTGGGGACCGTCTGTGGCAAGATAGTTACAGCGGCTGAAGCCCATATGACTAACTGCCCAGTTAAGAGTCCCAGATCCAGATGTTGAGAAACAAACTCGGTGTGTGTGTGTGTGTGTGTGTGTGTGTGCATGTCTAAAATCTTGAAAAGAGAGAGAAATGGAAAAGGGATTATGGCATGACCATGTACCATGGGCATGTGCTTTCTCACTTTTCTTCTCTTGGTCTCTGTCCAGTGTTAACATAAGCACATCCACCCTCTGGCAAAAACTAAAAAACAAACAAACAAAGAAAACACCAAAATATTAACTTTATTGGGTAAGTAAAATACCTTTTGTCCATACAATGAAAATTCAAAATCATCTATCAAAATAACCAAAACCAAAACCAAACACCAATAGGGGACAGCATTTTCAATGCCAAAGAGGAGACAAATTTACAAGGATATAATTTCATAGATAATTTTGAATGAGAAAAACAAGTTGTAGACTAGATAGAATAGAATGATCTCAATTCCCCATAAATATATAAGGTTTTATTGTTCACATTAAAGAGAATGTTAAGTCATATAAGCTAATTTATTGTCACTTCTGGACAAAATACCTTCAAAGCCAATGATATAGGTCAACACTGTAATTTTTGAAAAGAAGTATAAAACAGCATTAAAAGTACATGGAGAGAAGAAACTGCCAGATTATCTGCTGTGGCCAACAACTTGGCGTCATTGGGAAGTGGATTATCCCAGAGCTTTGACTAAGATTTTTTCAAGGGTGTTTTGGCAAAGAGACCGTAATAACATAGGTTGCCAAGTGACTTCAAGTTCTAGGGGTTTTTTCTCATGTTATCTTAGGATTTTGTTTCACATCAAATGTGGAGAATTTCAAATAGTGAGTGAATGTAAAGACTATTTACCATTCTTAGAATTTAGAGGATTTTTTTTTTTTTGAGAGATTTTTGCTATGGGGTGTGTGTACTTGCCAGAGAGACAAAGGGAGATAGAGACAGAGAAAGTGAGAAATCACCTCCTGGGGGGATGGCCACACCTAAATCCTCTCTTCTTCTCCATTCTCCTCTCAGGGTCTTGGACACATACACACACATGCCTGGTGTGAGTTTCAGGCCACCAGGTCTGGGACTTGAATCACAGTTGGCCATGTGGGAGACTAGTGACATAACCATTATGTCATCTGCTGTTCTTGAGTTTAGAGGATCCTTAGCACATATGAATTTGTATGGCATTTGATATGTATCAAGAGTGTGCTAGCTTTAGCTCTGTGTGTCACTCTTTAGTAGGTCAATAAATGGAATAATGATAAGATAAATAGTAATGGTCATGGAAAGTGATTTAAAACTATCAAAGATGTTGATCATTACCAGTGCATCTCAAGATAAGCAGTAAGCATGTACTTGTCTAAATAAGCTATTCATCATTGCCACCCATATTAGTTGGGAGCACTGGGACAGGATGATTATTTTTGGGAATTGTCAGGAATCTTGGAGACAGCTATAGTTGTTGATGTTACCAAGTAATGCTGTTAAGATGATTATCCATAGAAGTCAGCTCAAATGCAAGATTTCAAAATTCTTTTACTCTCATAATTTCCAAGTCCTGCTTAGGAAATGGTTGTAAAACCTCATTAGCAGAACTGTTAGATTTTATCAGTGAATACATGACTGATTGCAGAAGAGCACTTATTTCAGTGAATGTGGGAGAGAGAAGATAAAAGTGTGTTCAAGATAACTAATACGAATCTTTCTGAGCTCTAACATTCTAGAAATAGAAAGTGGAATCCCTCATCAAAGAATGTAACAGGTCTACCTACCTGACTTAGATTGAAACCACCCTTTTCTCTTGCTCTGTTAATTCCTAGAAATGCAGTCCCAACAGTACCAGCAGCAGCGTCGAAAATTTGCAGCTGCCTTCTTGGCATTCATTTTCATTTTGGCAGTTGTGGACACTGCTGAGGCGGGGAAGAAGGAGAAGACAGGTAAGCAGGAGGGTTATGAAGGCAAGATGCTTCCTTGACTGATGTCTATCTGATCCAACTACCTGTCTTTCCTTACTTCCTTCTCTTCCTCCCTTCTTCCTTCCCTTCCTCCTTCTTCCTGCCTTCCCTCCTTTCTTTTTTTCCCCAATTGTTTAAAGGGATCTAAGGAATATCCTTCTTATTTTCCCTGTGCTGTAAGTCTCAGAGTGCAGATGATGATGGCCTTTAGTATAATGATCAAATTGTTGGCTACTAGGTATAAAACACTGACTGGCAATCCTGTGATTTACTTACTTTACCTCTCTTCAAAGTATATATTGTCAGTAATTTTTTCAAGTGTCTGACTTACAAAGAAGGAAACTGGAGCCCAGAGAGGATAAAGCATCTCCCCTATGCCACCTCCAAATAGACTATGGACGTGGAAGTCTGTTTCAGTCTGTGATGCACTATATTTCCTTATCGCCATTTCTTCTACAATACAGATATATCAACCTGCATTGAAATAACTAATCTGATTACAGCTGCTTCTTATTTTCTCTTTTTGTTGTGAAAGAGAAAAAGGGGAAGAGGAAGGAAGGGGAAGATATATATTTTTAACAAGGGGAGGACATTATAATCTGCCTGTTCTGTCATCCCAGTTGACTAGGACCACAGGCATTCACACCAAGCCTGGCCTTTGAGGTTGGGCTGAGAACCGAACTTGGGCCTCCTAAATGGACTCACAGTGATGCCCTCCCACTCACGCCACCGCAGCAGGGCTCACTTTCATTTCTCATAGAATATTTTCTAATTTTTTAGCCATAATTATTTTTGACCACCTCTGCTTTTATAAAAAATATTTGCTTCTTAAAAGAGATGTCAACAAATCACTTAGCATGGTCCCTGTCACATAGTAAGAGTTATATTCATATTAGTTCTAATTCCTTCCTCAGTTTGCTTTCTTCTCTGGATCATTCATTGGTTAAATCATCTGACTGAGATCTATTACATTCCTACTATTTTCTGGACAATAAAGATAGAGGTAAAAGCACAGACCCTGTAATTAAAGGGCATGGGAATGAACTTAATTCTATCTAGAAATTAAAAAGTCTTTGGAGGCTGATATATTTTTTGTTTATTTTTCTTACAGAAAAAAAAGTGAAAAAGTCTGACTGTGGAGAATGGCAGTGGAGTGTGTGTGTGCCCACCAGTGGAGACTGTGGACTAGGCACCCGTGAGGGCACCCGGACCGGAGCTGAGTGCAAACAAACTATGAAGACCCAGAGATGCAAGATCCCCTGCAACTGGAAAAAGCAATTCGGTGGTAAGTGTCACCTGGTCTGTCCTACCTATTAATCTTCCCTGAGGTCATTCTCAAATTGTGCCACCAAATGTCTTTTCAAGTTTGAGAACTATTTATTTTAAATAGGCTTATTTTATCAGACACAAAGTGACCTGACATCTGGTCTAACCCGAGGGTTGCCCAGCTTTGGCACTGATGACATTTTAGACCAGGTGATTTTCTGTTTTGTAGGTTGTCTTGTGTATCACTGGATATTTAGCAGAATTCTTGGCTTATACTTACTAGATTGCAGTTGCACTCCCCATGACCCCCAACGCGCGTGCACACACACACACACACACACACACACACACACACAGTGAAACTAAAAATGTTTCCAAATATTTATGGCTAAATATCCACAGGAGATCAAAATAGTCCCTGGTTGAGAACCATTGCCCTACCAATAAAGACATAAAATATACCCTTTGACCCATTGATCTTTCTTTATTTCTTTTACATCTAAGTTCCTTCTCTCTTTCTTTCTTTCTTTCTTTCTTTCTTTCTTCCTTCCTTCCTTCCTTCCTTCCTTCCTTCCTTCCTTCCTTCCTTCCTTCCTTCCTTCCTTCCTTCCTTCCTTCCTTCCTTCCTTCCTTCCTTCCTTCCTTCCTTCCTTCCTTCCTTCCTTCCTTCCTTCCTTCCTTCCTTCCTTCCTTTCTTTCTTTCTTTCTTTCTTTCTTTCTTTCTCTTTCTTTCTCTTTCTTTCTTCTTTTTTTTCCTGCAGGGTACATGCTCTTGCCAGAGAGATATAGAGGAAGAAAGAGAAAGTGAGAAATCACCCCCCCCCCGAAGATGGCCATGCCATGTTCCTTTCTCTTCTATTCTTCTCTAGGGATTTTTAGTGGGATGCATACACATGTGCTTCCAGGTCCAAGACTCAAACCATGTACTTGGCCATGTGGTACCTAACTGCCCCAACTACCACACAACCAGACTGGCCCACCCTTTGTTTTTTTCTTATTTATTTTCCTCCTTTTCACTTTAGAGCCTTTTTAAATTTTGATTCCTTCCTTCTCTTCATTGCATACATATGGACACATACAGGTTCATAGGTTTGCTTATCCAGTCCAGCAGATCTGGTCAGAGTCACTTTTCATAGATTTTACTTTTGGTGACAATAGTCAGTCTTACACTGACTTGATGTAGTTAAGACAGAATCTTAATACTTCCAACTTTAAACCTTCTTTTGAATCACAAATAACCATTCTTCCATATTCTAGACTTTTTGTTTCTTGGCCATTGGGACCTGAAACCTCAGTGTCCTACCTGCGTTTTATAAAAATTCACTCTCCCCACTATGGCCTATAAGCATATGAAGAAGGACAATGAATATATATATAGATATATATCTCTCCACACATACATACACATATATATGTATATTCCTCTAAAACTTTGGGGGATACTTCTTTTTTAAAACAGAGATAAGTTCCGTAAAGATAGTTTTGTTCAGAGATAAGTTCTGTAAAGATAGTTGTGTTCAGAGGTAATGGGTCTTAAATTTTATATGGAGACTTTAAAGGCCCACCTACAAAGAAGTTTAAAAGGTGTGCTTTAAGGACTCATGTCTAAATATGTGAACTAACTCTCAAAACTCAATAATAAAGAAAGTGAAAGTCTAATAAGAAAGTGGGCTAAAGGCATTGGCAGACATTTTACTGAAGAGGATGTATAGGTGATAAATAAACTGCTAGAAAGATGCTTTATTTCTTTTCTGTATTAAGAAAACAGAAGTTAAAGCTATAATAAAATACCACCATACACCTATCAGAGTGGATAGAATAAAAAAAGTAGTGATAGTACAAAATGCTATTTAGGATGCAGAAAAACTAGAATGTACTGTAGTTATTACACAACTAAACATGCATTTGCCATATGATCCAATGGTTTCCTGGGCATGTAGTCCATAGAATTGAAAACCTGTTTCCACAAAATCCTGTACATGAAAGCATATAGCAGTTTTATTGTAATATCCAAAAGCTTGAAACAATCCAGATATCTGTCCTTCAACTGGTGAATGGTGAAACAAACTGTGGTATATCCATACCATGGACTATTATTCAGTGATAAAAGGAATAGACTATTAATACACACAACTTGGATAGATCTCCAGGAAATAATGCTAAGTAAAAAAAAAAAATCAAAAGTTTACATACTTGGTGATTCCATTTATAGAGCATCCTTAAACTGACAAAATTGTAAAGCTGGAGAACAGATTAGTGGTTGCTGGGGATAAGGAGGTGGGAAGGAAGGATAGTGGTTAGACAATGGCCATGAAAAATGACCTCAGGGACCCTTATATTGGAATTGTTCTGATAACTAAGGGCAATTTTCTGTATCATAAGTAATAAAATCACACAGCACTAAACAAATGAATACATATAAAACTGCTGACACTTGACTAAGTTTCATGAAACACATCAGTGTCAATTTTGTGGTTGTGCTATTAAACTATAGCTATGTAGGGTATTGTGACTGGTGGAAAAATGAGGGAAGAGTAAATGAAATTGCCTGAATCATTTCTTATAACTGTATATGAGCCCCTAATTATCCCAATATAAAAAGGTAAAAACAAAAGTATGCCTTTATTATCATGGCACTATAACAAGATCTTTCAAAGATTTCTGTCTGGTCCTACCCTATCTTTAGCGGAGTGCAAATACCAGTTCCAGGCCTGGGGAGAATGCGACCTGAATACAGCCTTGAAGACCAGAACTGGAAGTTTGAAGCGAGCCCTCCACAATGCCGACTGCCAGAAGACAGTCACCATTTCCAAGCCCTGTGGCAAACTGACCAAGCCCAAGCCTCAAGGTAGGTCCCTACCAGATACTGCAATTTCAGTGGGTTGATGGACTCAGGCGAAGTCTTCATTTGTGGAAACTCGGATTTCCCAGATTAACATATTTGGTGAATTACCTTTCATAAATGATTGAAAAAGTCTCATCTATTGGGCATCACTCACGTGCTTTTCAGTATGCAGACTATGATTTCAAATCGCAGTCCTCTACATACATGGAGAAATTTGTAGGTCTCCTAATATGAGTAAACAACTTAGCAAAGAGGCCGATTAAGCCAGTTCTTATAGAATGACCATCTACTCCAAACTACCTTAGAACTACATACTGAGAAGATAAACTTAAGAAGTTCATGAAGCAGAAACTTTCAAATAAAGCCTCTTCTAGATGATCCGAAATACTGCTTCCATGAAATCAGGAAAATAATTTTATATCTTTCCCTTCTCCACCGTATCATTGCATAGCTTCTATATTTCTTATACTTCTTTCAGAGTTGTTATGTATTTATTTTTAAAGTTGGTGTATCTTACTAATTACCTTGATTACAGAAGTGCTTTCACTATTCATAATAGAATACATATGTGCACACATGAAACTGAGAGACAGGGAGAGAAAGAGGACTATCTTCCACAGGTCTGGTCTCACCATGATCTCCTTCCTCCAGTCCTTCAGTCTGTCCGGTCCTAGAAACTCATACAAATGTCTGGTGTGTTTCAGGCCAATTGGGCTGGGTATTCAAACTGCATTTGCCATTTGGGATCAGGCTCCCCTTGAGCAATGATATACTATTGCACCATGCAGCCAGATGGTTTGTTCGTTTGCTTAATCACAGAATTTTTAAATTGCATAGTTACCATTCCTAGAGAGTCAGCCTCTGCTCTCATGCTGGAGAAGGTAAACCAAAAACAAGCATCATGGCCACGATATTATACATGCAGAATTCCAGCCAAGGGAAGCCAAAAAGGTTTTACATTATTTTAATACCCGTTCATTATGGACTGAATTGTGTCCTCCTTAAAGTTTATACATTGAAGTCCTCAGAATGTGACTGTATTTGGAAATGGAGTTCTTTCAAGAGAACACTAAAAATGAAGTCACATGAATGAGCCCTAACCATTTTTTTTTTTGAGAGGTTTTCGCTATAGGGCACGTGCGCACGCCAGACAGACAGACAGAGACAGAGAGACAGAAAGTGAGAAATCACCCCCCCAGGGGGGATGGCCACACCGCAATCCCTTCTCCTCCATTCTCCTCTCGGGATCTTGGGCATGCATGCACATGTGCCTGGTGTGAGTTTTAAGCCACCGGGTCCAGGACGCAAACCACGGTCGACTACGTGGGAGTCCAGCGACATAGCCATTACGCTAACTGCTGGTCCCAAGGGCCCTAATCTTATATGGCTGGGTCCTTCTAACAAGAGGAGATTTGGACAAAGAAACCTACTGAAGGAAGACAATATAAAGACAGGGAGAAGATGGTCATCTGAAAGCCAAATAGAAAAATGTCAAAAGAAACCAGCCCTACTGACATCTTACTCTCAGACTTCTGGCCTCTGGAACTACAAGAGAAATAGATTTCTGTTGTTTAAGCCACCAATATTGTGCTAATTTGTTTTAAACCACCTAAGTAGGCTGAAATAATGGGCCTCTCTGAACTTCAAATTAAAATACTCTCTTGGTGGCCATCAGATGGTGTAGCAGTTACATTGCAGGATTTCCACATGGCCAACTGTAGTTCGAGTCCTGGACCTGGGGATTTGAAAATCATACTCGGCATGAGAGTGTGTGTGTGTGTGTGTGTGTGTGTGTGTGTGTGTGTGTAGGGTGTGCACATGCGCCCAAGATCTTAGCAGGAGGATGGAGGAGAAGAATTATGGTGTAGCCATCCCCCCTGGGGGGTGATTTCTCATTTTCGGTCTTACTGTCTCTATCTTTTTCTCTTTCCAGTGAGTGCATACACTCTAAAAATAAAGAAATAAAATATTGTCTTGGACTCTACTCATAGTAGAGCTCTAAAATGGACCTGAAAATTTATACTGCCAGATTAATTATAAAAAGAAATTCATAACAATGGTCACGTAATATATGCCTGTAATAAGTGAAAATAAGAAAAAGGAAAAAAAAAAAAAAGAATCCCCAGAAGCTGAGCTGGAATGGCAGCTTTGCTGCTTGTGGCCAGAAAGGAATCTTTTCACAGGTTGACTCTATGGCCTGTGGTGGAGTCATCCATGGACATAGTTACCTCCAACTTCAGGATGGCTGGGAACAAGCTAGACCTGCAGGTGATGAAGCTGGGATTCAGGGCACTCTTTTCAGATCATTCAGGCCCCTCTTTCCAGATCACAGACATCTCTGCTTGCTGCAGTGTGTGTTGAGAAGGCGTTAATTAGGACTGAGGTTGGTGTAGTAGGTGCTTGTGCCAGCTTTGTAAGTATTACTGGCCTAGCAACAACCACAAAGATCTAACCAAAATCAGTAGTCATCCTGTTAAGTGACACATTTCAAAAATGGAAAAGCTCAGATATATAGCCTTCATATTTATTTTTTAACCCAGTTGAAAAACTGAAATAGTCAACATAAACATAGAATGGAAATGAAAAGAACTTAAGAAGGTTTCCACATTGTAGCACAGCAGTATTCAACCTGGGCTGTGCGTTAGCATTGTCTGTGGGAATTTATAGAAATTCCATTGCCCATACATAACCTAGACCAACCAAATCAGCATCTATAGTTTTAGAAATTTAAGTGTTCCCTAAAAAGCTTTATGATACAGCTAATCCTGCCCTAGAATAAAATCCATTGACAAGGGACTACACACGAGTGTACACAAACACATATATGTACACACGCACATGTGTGCACACACTGACCTTGTTCTCTTCTGTGGGAGGGGGAAACAAAAACTGAATGAACAGAGAGAAAAGAACTGGGAAGGTTATAAGATAGGGGATAGAAGGGCTGAATAAATATGAACCATTTTGAAAAATTTGGAATAAACAGGACAAAGCGGGGTTTATGATCAAGAAAGATTGCCTAAAGATATTTGGTAAATATATTAAATGACATCTTCCTTTTCATTGAACTGGTGGATATTTCACCTTTTTACATTTTCCCATCTAAGTAATATTTCAAGCAGATTAAAAGTGTGTTTCAGACTTTCTCCTTGAAAAATGGTAAAAAATATTTCCAATGGGCATATAGTTTGTAATTTCATGAATATTAATGAATTAAGGTATATAATTAATTGACAATGGGATTACCAGAAGCTCTATGTTTCAAACTACTAGTTATGTATTTGATCGGTCATTAAAATGCAGCCTCCTCTGTGTATAATATACCTTGATAAAACTAATCAATCTTTTCCCTCCTAACAGTGGTGGTGGTGGTGGGGTTTACAAATGTTATTCTGTGTTATACAAATGTTATACAAGTGTCACTAAATGCTACATGAAGAATATCGTTTTTTGTTTTTGAAAAGTTTTTTGCTGTTGGGTGCATACATTCTCCAGAAAGACAGAGACAGAGAGACAGAAAGTGAGAAATCACTCCCCAGGGGGATGGCCACACCGCAATCCTTTCTCCTCCATTCTCCTTTCTGGATCTTGGGCACACATGCACACACACCCGGCATGAGTTTAAGGCACTGGGTTCGGAACTTGAACTGCGGTCGACTACATGGGAGTCCTGTGACATAGACATTATGCCAACTGCTGGTCCCATGAAGAATATTCTTATGGTAGGAGTTGAGCCAGGGAGATATGTCAAAGAGAAATGAGACTAATGAGACCATGCACATTCCATAACATATTTCTTATAGCTTAAATAAAATGTAAGGAGTAGTAAATGTGAGCTGTATATATTTCGTACTACTTTCTGCAAATAACCATGGGTGTGTATTACAACTTTCTTATTGTGAGTCTCTAATCTTAAGATTGTTTCTTTTTTTCTGACTAATGAGAAAGTAAGTAATAATAAAATTGAACTTATTTTTATTTTTCTAATCCTTGGTGTTGTTCTGGGTGTCTCATGTATATTATCTCATAAAGTCCCATACATTTTTGTAGGTTATTATTATAAAGGAAACTGAGGAACTTGACATAATTATTTGCCTGAGAGAACGTCTCTAATAAATAACAGAGACAAGGCTTGGCTACCTCTAAATTCATGTTCTCTTTTATACTCTGCGGATTTCTCACCTAAATTACATAGGGATGTGAGCTAACCTCCTTGGGTTTTATGTTCCTTTAAATAGGAGAAGGTGAATTTCATAAAGTCTGATACTGACATGCCAAACAGAAGACATTTTCCACTTTATTTCCAAGACTGTTCTGGAAGAGATCCTCTAGAATATAATTTCTGGGAGGACAAGAATTTGGTCTATTTTGTTCTCTACCAAATTCTTTGTGCCTAAATAATGAGCAGCACATAGTAAGTGTTGAATAAATATTTTTATAATAAATAAGTACCAAATGGCATAAGGTTTTGTACACTAAATTCTCCAAAGGCTGATGGAAGCTGCAGAAAAAGTCATTAAAACTAAACTTTTCTAAAAGCGATGAAATTATAAAGTATTTTCTTATTTTATTCAGGAAAGCTTGTCATCAATGCTTTTTCTTATTTTAATTCAGTACATAAAAAAGAGAGGTAGGAATTGGGCACTATGATAGAAGCTCCTGACCATTTATTTAATTATCTGAGCAACTCTATGTAGTGAAACATACCTATCCTACTTTCTGTATGAAAAACCATGGGCTCACAGAGGTTAAAAAACTTGCCAGAGGTTTCACATCTTACAAGTGGTAGAACCAGGATTCAAATCCAAAATTGGACTGACACCAAAGACCTGCTGCCTTTTCAATTGCTTTATATTGTCTCTTAGTATTCTAAATTCATGAAACTCTGGTTTGTTAGGTATGGCTTTCTGTCTAGAACCATTAAGTGGTAGAGCTTCAGGGGACCTTGCCTATTATTTGATCTGTCATGTAACAAAGGAAGACAGAGAAAATCAATGACTCTT